ATTTTTTTTGTTTTTTTTTTTTTTTTTTTTTTTTTTTTTTTTTTTTTTTTTTAAACATGCATTGAGCATATTATATCGACTTTTAAGAGAATTATAATTGGTCTATGAAAAGGGTTGGGTTGCACCATTGTTAGAACAATCTTGACTTTTGTTCCCACAAATTAAAGTGCAAAATACTCTTCAAATCAAACACATCATGATTCTTTCTTAGTCAACTTTTTGAAAAAACAATTCTTAAACCAAACTATCTTTTACTTTATTTTATAATTTTCGAGAAAAATTAAGAAACAGTTTTTTGAAAAGTAGCCCAACGCATGGCTTTAGGTATTCTTAAAAAAAAAGAAGGTAGAAGTAGAGTAGATTTTCACAGAATTAAGACATATAATAGTTAATTGTGTGAAAAATTTATGCAGATTTGCTATGAATACATAAATTAAAATAGACAAAAAATAAAATAAAATAAAATTTACTGATGAGGTACGCTTTAAAAAAAAAAAAAATCCATGCATATACATTCTTTATTTAGTTATGAATTTTTATGTCCATTTGGATTGAGTAATTTGGTAAGAAATTATATAAATAATAACTCTTTTATCATATTTAATTTATAAGTTATATGAGAAATGATAAGATATAGAGAAGAAGATAACTCTTTTATTTTATAAGTTTTATTTCTAACTAAAAGTGATGAGATTTAGTGAGAAACAAACAAATTTGTTGTTTATCTTTTATAATACCAATATTATCCATTAAATTATAAAGGAAGAAAAAGAAATTCCTTTCATACATCTATGTCACTTATTTTTTTTTACTCATCTAAACATAATAGTGAAAAAATACAATATATATATATTTTTTTCACATAGATGAGAGAGCACTATAAGGCTCGATTTGAATGGACGTTCAAGTAAAATAATTTGATTAAATTTTATAAAATTATAAGAAAATTAGTTATTAATGGTGGATAATAACTTTGTTTGAAATTTTTGTATAAATAGTATTTTTTTATAATTTTTTTTTTAAAAAAATATTTAAAATAGGGCACTCAGGGCAGGGTCCATTTCTAAAATTAATAGGCTCAAGTCAAACAAGGGCACTTATCTATTCAAAAAGAACATTTATTTGTTTAAAATTTATCTATATGTCTATCTATCTAAATGTCATTTATTTATACATGTGTCATTTATTTGCCCAATGTCACTTATTTTGTAAGTGTTATGGTGTCACCTATTTATTCAAAATTATTAATCTATCCACTTCACCACTGATAACTTTATCAATCAATTTTTCCAATGCGAACAACTTCTCAGACATCAATGACTTTTTTTTTTGGACATCTTTAAGCTTAAACATATCATTATCACCAAAAAAAAAAAAAAAAAAATTAAATTTTATATCAAATAACATATGGCCCACAAGTTTAGATTTTTTTGCTAATTAACCCTTTAAAATACAAGCTTTTTAAATTCAATTTTGATATATAAATTTAAAATATTACAATTGTGTTTGCTCATCGAAGAGATGTGTGTACGTATTCCTAATCTTGACCTCAAGTTTGAGGTTATACTCCACGAAGTCTCCTCAAAGTGAAGGTTAAACTCCACGAAGTCTCCTCAAAGTGAAGGTAATACTATGAGAGAGAGAGAGAGAGAGAGAGAGAGAATTGAATTGCTATATTGCCCTTTTCTACGAAACCAACAAACAAACAAACAGCTTTCGGGCCAATAACGGTCAGCCGGAATAAATTCTCTTTCACGCGCGTTCATACGCCAACCTCAAATTACAACAGAGCGCTCAACAGTTTTCAGATTAAAAAAGGTCAATATTTAGCTCATCAGCACGAGAGAGAGAGAGAGAAGAGATTTTTAGAGTTTTAGAGAGAGAAAGAAAGAGACCATGAACCAGAAGGCCAGCGTTTCCAAAGAGCTCAATGTCAAGCATCGAAAGGTTTACTCAATTACTTGAAATTTTTTATGGGTTTGGATATTTACCTCAAATCTTTTATGGGTTTTGATGTTTACTTGAAACCATTTATGGGTTTGGATGTTTATGAGTTCTTTCAGTTGCTTGAGCTCAAACTCTTCTTTGCTTGAATTGATTTGATTTTCCATCTTCTCAGCTCATTGATTAGGGTGTTAATTCAAACTTTAGGCTGCTTCTGTTTGTGTTTTGTTCTTCGTTGTTCTGTTGATATTAAACCTTGGAGTTTAAGCAGAGCATGGATTTATGATGAGCCTTTACTTGATCAAAAATAGTGACAATATTGCACAATTCTCAAAAGACATGTTTTTTCCCCCCATCTCTTTGGCAATTGAATTGTACAATCAAAATCAAATTATTTTTTTTATTCTAGTATTTATGATTTTCGTTTCTGGCCGGAGGTGGCCTCTGGCAGTGATGGCTGGAGGCGATAAGGAGAGAGGAGAGAGTGAAAACTTTATTTGATTTTTTATTTATTTAATATTATTTATTTATTTATTTATTTATTTTTTCTCTAAGCATTTTGAAAGTTTTGGAATCAATTCTACCTTTTCGAAAACAAAAATAATATATGAACAGTTTTGTGTCTCCATTCCCAAAAAAATTGAAAACGGAAAAAGAAAATAGGAAATGGATGCGCTATCCAACCAACGTGCCCAAATAATTAGGTTTGCTTAGGTATAGATGTTTTTTTTCAATATTATAATTGTGTTAAAAAAATAAGTAAGTAAATTAAATTATTGCAAATTTCTTTTGTTTAGATAAAAAATAGTGACTTTTTTGGACAATTCTCAAAAGACATGGTTTTTTCCATCCCCGTTGGCAATTGAATTGTACAATCAAAATCAGATTATTCTTTTTATTCTAGTAGTTATGATTATCATCTCTAGCCAGCGCTGAAGGCAATAAGGGAGAGAGGAGAGAGCGTGAACTTGTTTTGAAAACAAGTGAAAATACTTTCTTTTCCCGTTTCCAAAAATTTTGAAATCAATTCCACTTTATTAATTATTAGTTTTTTTAAGAAGACGAAAAATAGATTATTTGATTCCCTAGGACATTTCTTCTTTAATGCCTTTCATATAGTTGTTCTAATAGTAGTTCTCTGAATTCATTATTGTTTACCTACTGAATAGTCAATGCCCATGAATTTTGTATGAAATGTTTAGTTGGTTGTAATTATTATCCACTCTTTATTTTAAAAACAAAGAACTGGTTATCATTCATAACTCTGAGCAGTTGTCTTGTGTTGTATTTAGCTCATAGAATAGCTGCCAAAAGTGTTTTAATGATATACTTTGATGTCTTCCATAAGAGTCCACCTTGTTAGTTGTTGTAACTGATGTAAACTATATTTTGGTGGCCACATTAAAAATACACATAGCTGTATGTTATGTTAAATGCTAGAGGTTCTTCTGTCTTCAGAATTGCGTTACAGCCAAAAGTTTTTTTTTGTTTTTGTTTTTGTTTTTGTTTTTGTGTTTTCTGGGTCTGACAGCAAAAAGGTTTCTATGCTTTCTAAATCACTCATAGAAGCAAGTTAACTTGCAAGTTCGATGTCCATGAGCCGCTTCTTCTTTTGCTTCAATGCAGAGTTTTTTGGCAGTAAAAGATGTTGCTATATGTATGTTAATAAGAAACCATCAGACATCAACTCCAAGAAATAGAAATAAGAAATAATGGGGTAATCCAATAAAGAAATGAAGTGTTAAAATGAGAGAAACGGACTTTAAACTAGAAAACAAACTTGCATTAGCATAGGTTATGCTGTTTGACTTATCCTCAGAGCTATGGATGTGATTATGTTAGAATATCCTTTCTATGATATTGACTCGTTATGGGTATACTAAGAAGCCCGTTAAATGGAAACACATTTGTATACTTTTGAAGTACTGAATTGTTAAATACTTTTGAATCCAATAAGTAAATATGAAGAAGATAGAATGAGCAACACTTGATCATGCTTTTTGGAAACTCTTGCAACTCACCAATCCAGAATTTTCATTGGCTTGTGAATTCTCCTTATCCCCAAAACATTTTCTATTTGGTTTCTGAAAAGAGTTTATTGTACTTTGATTTCATCATTATCTACCAATTCAATTTTTTCTGCTATTCAACTTTCTTCTTTTTTTATGCTATGTTCTAGATATGAATAGCAACAACCCTTTTGGTGTTCTGATTTGCAGACATTGGAGGGGCTTCTTAAATTACCAGAGAACAGAGAATGTGCCGACTGCAAAAGCAAGTAGGTATCTTGGAGCAATATGGACACTAATTTTATAGCAGAAGAAATATCTTGGGTGTTTGGACAATAAAGACGGGAAACAATGAAGACGACATTTTTTAATGTCTCACACCATGATTGAATTTCTATTTCTGTGATTTGTTTCAATGCAGAGGACCAAGATGGGCTAGTGTGAATATAGGAATCTTCATTTGCATGCAATGTTCTGGGATTCACCGAAGTCTTGGAGTACACATTTCAAAGGTGCATAGAGTTGCTTTTTGGTTCCTCAGGCTTCTCTCGGTTTTCTATTCTTTTGAACTTAAAAATGTCAGAATTTTGATTATGGCAGTTATTTTTTAGCCAAATTTGTGTTGTTATATGTAGCGTAGACCTCCACAGTTTTCACATGCATCAGTTATTTGTTCTTAGTGAGTTTCAGTATTTGATGCTAATTGTAAAAACTAAAAGCCAGGAAAATAAATCTATGAAGCACCAACACTTCAAATGGGTGCCGATATGGGACACGGATACATAGGCACATGCTTGTCCATGTGTTGGACGTGCCATGTGTCTTGTCAATTTTTTTAATTATTATTTTTTTTGTAGGACACTTTGGGGACACTTCACGGACACGCGTGTCCTGTATTTAGACACTCTTGAGGACACCTTTGTGAGTTTTTTTAATTTTTTATAATAATTTTAGAATTTTGATTTTGACTCAAAAGTAAATATATGAAAACAAAAAGGGAGGAAAGTGAAAAATAAAATAAAAATACACTCACATATAAATTAATTCCTTTTATATTTGTTTGCCCTTAAATTTTATTTATATACATTGCAAATAAAACATATATGTATTTTCTTTTTTTCCGTATCCCTGCAGTATGTGTATCCTAATCTTTTCAAAATTGCATTGTCTCATGTCCATACCCGTGTCTGTTTCTGTGTCTGCATCGATGCTTCTTAGAAATAAATTATTGCTTTTGTACCACATCATGCCTAACAAATTTCTATTGATTTTGCTGCAGGTGAGATCGGCCACACTGGATACATGGCTTCCAGATCAGGTTGCATTTGTTCAATGTGAGAACCACTCTTATTTTTCAGGCTTTTAAACCTTTCTGATCATGTTAAATCATTTTTTTAAGAATGTGAAACTGGGCGATTGAAGTCATTTTGATAATTTAATTTGTGGGTCCTTGCAGCCATGGGAAATGAGAAATCAAATAGCTATTGGGAAGCTGAGCTGCCTCCCAAGTACAATAGAGTTGGAATTGAGAATTTCATTCGTGCAAAGTACGATATTGTTGGGTGATCAATATGAAATTGTGTAATATATTCTTGATTCAGAGTTTTGCTTTTTTCCCTTGTTTTGTTCTCAAGGGCAATAACACCATCTTTACTGTTGATGTGGATCTATCAGATATGTGGATAAAAGATGGATTCCTAGGGATAGAAAAGTAAAATCACCCTCAACTGTAAGAGAAGAGAAGGTTTCGGTTTATAAACTGGGACCTGAAATTAGTAGTGGCATTGGATATTCCAATAGTATTAAACAGTCTACTGATGAGAGGACAGAGTCAAAAAGCCAACCTCAGCTGCCAAATACGACTAGAAGTATTGTAGCTGCAAAAAGTAATGATCATGTGTCCCCTGAAGTGTCTCAGCAGGTAAGTAGAATTTATCTAGTTGGTCTTTACTAATGTTTTTTTTTTTTTAGGCTCCATTTTATTTGTAATGCATTATTGATCTTTTTGTCCATTGATATACTTGTTATAACTGCACGCTTTTATATATTACATTCCACACTCTCTTTTTCTTCTTCTTTTTTTTTTTTTTTTTTTTTTTTTTTTTGGTATTAAATTATGAGCCAAGAAGCACTGACATTTCTAAGAAGGTGGCATATCTGTATTGTGTCCATATTGGACACTGACACTTATCAAATACTTCCCAACACGTCTTAGAAACTCATCCAAACATGTTCCTTTTTATAATAAAAAATTAGATCCAAACAAACTTCAGACACTTGGGGAGCATGTGTCCATTGCTTAGATGTATAAAAGTAGTTATAAGTTTGAACAAAATAACTTAGGATATAATAATAAAAGAAAAACAATGTAGATTTATAGGAATTAGTGTTATGTTGCATTTATTATTATCTTTGAATGATATCTTGTTATGTATGACGTTTAATAAATTTATAAAACTATACATTTTGTGCATGTTCCCCACGCATCTTGCATTTTTTGAAAATTGTCGTGTCTACATGTTGAGTATAACCTATTTACAAATTAGCAATGCAATGCATCTGGATTTGTGAAATCAGTGTCAATGATGTTTGTTTTGTGGGATATAATATAGCAATATCACCTACTATGGGTCTGAGGGCTGTAGTGAAGTATGGAATTGGAAATCCAGCTTTGATCCAATGCATATTTGACTTTGGTTATGCAGAAACTCACCCATCCTATAGGTTGATGCATTTCATTGGTGATCTTTTTTAACTACTTAGAAACAAATACCAATTTTAGGAAGCTTCTGACACACTGGACTTAATGAACAGGTTACTCAGCATCCAACAAATCAAGAAGTCCATCAGAAATCAGAAACAAAAATTGCAACTTCAAAGACTGAATTGGGAAAGCAGGGAACTAATGCTACCCAGGTTTCTTCATCATCCAAGGTTGATTATGCTACTGATCTTTTTAACTTGCTCTCCATGGGAAACTCCAGCGAAAACAAATCCGAGCCCTCCATTGCCGATGAAAATGCGTGGGTGGTATTCCAGTGTATGTTTCCCTCATTGGCAGTTTCATCTGCTGTTAGTTAATTCTGGTAATTTGATTGCACTGTTACTAACTTACTATAGTCTTGAACTTCCACGACGTGCAGCTCCTGAAACAACATCGACGCCTGGGGAAAGTGAAAGTGTTAACTCAAAATCAGTTGAAATCAAGAACCAATCCAACTGTGGATTTGAGGAATTATTTAAAGATTTACAGTGGGTGACACCCCCCGCTTCTGATATACCTGCAAAAGGTGCGAAGAATGATGTTATGAATCTCTTCGAGAAGGTATATACAATGACTTTGTTGAATGGGATTTCAAGAAATGTAGAACCGTTAGATCGAAGGCCAGTGTGCTAGAATAGGATTTACTATGCTGACCAAGACATTATGAATTGATTTAGAGGGAGCTAGGGAGGAACAAATTTTTGCACTAAAAGAATTTGTTCCCTGGAAAATTGGAAACAAAAATTTGTTTGGTATATTGTTTTCGCTTTTCATAGAAGTGTAATGATTCCAAATATTTTAAATATGAAAAAAAGGGGTTTTCCTCTCTCCCCCACGGCCTCCGGCCACCACCACCATCCACCACCTCTGGTCACTGGTCACCATCAACCGCCGGATGGCTGACCTTTGGCGACACTGGAGACTAACTTCGGCTGCCACTGCCGGCCACCATCTCTATCAACTCACCAAACATGTTTTTGTTTTCATTTTTTTTTCCCCATACGCTTGTGGGTTCAAACCTGAAAGCGACCAATTAGTGCAAATTATGCAAAGGTTATGTCAGGAAATAGTGTACTTTTTTGTGTGTGTGCGTGCGCGTGCACACAAAACAAAAACTTATTTCCTGTCTTACGTAAACCAAAAACAGGAAACAGACAACATTATCAAACAACCCCTTAAGTTCTGTTTTTAACCTACAAAGAAGGCAGATAATTCTTGGAGTCTTTGACCTTTATCTTCTTTTTCTTTTCTACAGTCCAGGATTGTGTCCCCATTTCCAGTCCATCAACAACAACTTTCAGTTCTGCCTCAACAACAGCCCTTTCTAATGGCCTCTGCAGCGAAGTCTTTTGGAGGTTCCCAAACACTTTATGGGAATATAAATTTGCATGGCCCCAATGGCGTACACTTTCCCTTTCGGAATAACGGAATCAATGGCAATCAAGTCCCCGGAATGATGATGCCTATGGCTGGGCTACAAAAACATATGCAGGTCAGATTCATAATTTTTTTTACTGAATGAACTTTGATGTTCAGTCTTTAATGTTTTTGCTATTGTGTTTTTAGATGGGAAACACACAACCTTCATTTCCTGCAAGGAGTGCTGCTACTTATCCAACATACAGGTATATACATATGCTTGTATATGTTTCATTATGTTTATATTTTACTTCTTGAATTTTTTTTTTCTTGGTAAATTACTTTTATTGTACAAAAAGCTAATTGGGCATACCCATTTAGGGTTTAGAGTATAGGGTATAGGGTTCGATCAAACAAAGAAAACAAGAAGCTCAAAGAACCTCACCAAGACAAGAACTGAACAAAAACCACCTACTACAAGCAATCAAGACTTTAAGAATCTTAGAAGAAATTCCCCATAAGATACAAAGATGCCTATTCATCTATGTATCTTCAACATTCCTCGAAAAACACAACCTACTTCTAATATCCGTAACAATTCTAGCCAAAACATCCTCAGACATCCTCAGGCTCTGAATAAGGGTGAGAAAATTTTAGAGTTCCTTTTAACCCAAACATGATGTATGAGACCCAAGGAATGATATGGAAGGGTAATAGAGTAATTTCACATTTGCAGTTAAGGGTATTAAGAGTATTCTAAGTTTTGTGTCACTTCTTGTTAAAAGACAAATACTGACAAGGGGTGGAATGTAATTTCACATTGTATATGTTAAGTGTTTAAAACATATATCTCACATTAATTCTACAAAATCTGTTTCAGCATGCATACTACGGGGCCAGTAGCTCCACAAAGCCATATAACAACCAATGGAGCCAGCACACATTCTTCAAAGATTCCAACTCAATTGGGAGGAGATTTTGATTTTTCATCGTTAATGCAAGGGATGTTTACTAAACGATGAGCCATTGCACGAGTCAATGAATGAACTGATGATTGTTTTTCCATCCGGGAAAAGGGGAAATCTAGATTTCCTGGGAAAATATTGTTTGGGGATTGCATTCTTTGTTGGAAGCTGTATGCATGCTTTGTAAAGGGGTGGAATCAGTTTCATATTCAGGTGGCATTCTCATTTGTACATTTAAATGCATTCATGCAATAAAATTGGTATTCAAATTGCTTCATTTGATCTTTTTTAGAAGATAAATGATGAGATGATTCTAACTAGGGATAAATTACACTAAACCTCCCTGAGGAACAAATAAATTATAACTAGCTCCACCATTTTGATATAATTATACCATATTTGATTGAAATATAAACTACATGTCACTTTGACTCTCACAGTCAGTAAAAAAGATGAAAATGATATCATCATTTTAAAAATAAAATACCTATTTTATCCTTCATTATTATAATGTCTAAACATTATCTACATTTAAACGCTCGTTTCATGTTTAAATAATACACACAATTGAGAGAGTAATTAGACAAACTCATTAGGCAAGATGGATGGTAATTGTGTCATATGACATCAACACATATTTAAGTGCAAAATACTAAGAATCATATAGTATTTCATCACCTCCATTAACAGTGTTAAATTTGCCATTATTGTAGAAAATGTCAATTTAATTTTGTTAAAACTGTGAAGCTAGCTATAATTTCTTTTCAACCCTTCTAACGAAAATGCTATACATATAATGTTTGCGGAATCATAAAACATTTGAACCTACAATGTCACTTTCTGATGTAATAAGGCCTCCTGCAAAAATGTACATACAGAAGTTTCATCGATGTGTCTAAAAATACAATGTCCTTTCCTCCAAAAAAGAAAGAAAAATACATTAAACCAAAATCTTCATATATATTTGTTCAAAATCTTCAGACCGGTGCCCATCCACCTCGCATTTTCCTTTTTATTCTCTCCAGTGCGTCAAGATGGGCATCACCGTCTTTATCTTTAGCAGTGTCATCTCCATTGCTGTCATTGTCAGCCTCATCCTGCTTCAAACTGCCATCTGGAGGCTCGATATCCTCGTGATTTGCAGCAACTTTTATCCCTCCATCCGTCTGAGACTCAACTCTGGAGCTCGCAAAGCCTACCTTCCTGACACAAAGCCATTTCAACATCAGGAACCCTGGCTTTTTTCAATGCGTCCATTGTGTCGTCAAGATTTGGCTTGTTATTGTTTTTGCATCCAATATTCAGGAAAGAAGAAATGTGTCTGGAAGAAGAAATAAAATTAGTAACAATTTAAACAAGTGAGCATATAGAAACAAAAACTATAAACCTAAGCTCTAGAAAAAGAGCTCAACCACAGAAAAAGACCAAGAAATATAATGTATGGTTTAAATTCATTCAAAGTGTAATTTATCAAAAAAAAAAAAAAAATTCATTCAAAGTGTAAGTCTCACCACACAAGTGTTGAATCTAGACCACACATTGTTTTTCTTGATATTTTTCTGTGTTCAAGTTCTTGGTCCCTAGCATGATTGTGGGTAAATAACAAAGGCCATGCTGCATAGCTTACAGCAGGGTTTGGGAGAGGTAATAGGTAGGCAGTCTTACCCCCACCTTTTTGTGGAGAGGCTAATTCCTGTGGCCCGAACTTTTGCCACAGTGCTGGAGGCAGATAGCACTTGCCATTGCACCAGATCATGACGTCTATATAAGAGAGAATATTTTAACACCATTGAAAACAAAAGCACAATGATTGCAGACAAAATAATTACACCTTAATAAAAATATATCACATTTTCCTATGGAAAAATATTAAGTTAACAATTAAAGGGATAGTTAGTTGGGGGCAGTTTGTAAAGTAAATATCTGATGGCGAAGGCATTGCTTTATTTTATGGATTTGAGGTCATACCGATCCTGCATCATTTGGCAGCCCCACTTTCCTAGTTATTGCCCTGAAATTGGCTTGATCAAATGTTTACTTGATACTGCAATTATTTTAGATTAGATTTGAATTCATGTGAATTCTATGGTGGATCCTTGTCTCATCTGATCCGCTCAGCTCATTCCTCAGACTCGAAGCTAAAATCTGCTGTTACTACAAGAAAGACAACATAAGCTGTCAACTCCATAAAGCTTACAATTTTTTAGGATTATGAACAAACTTTGTAAATTATATGTACTGACTATTTGGGTAATCATGACCAACCACCTCATCCTCATCCTAAAAAAGCAGTATTCATCAGATTAAAGCCCTCCTGCAGCAACCTCTGTGGTTATTGTAGGACAATCTTCACTGTAATTAAAAAGATTAAATTCTATCGTATACAAAACCTATGTTACATGGACTCGGGTACGGGTGTCGGGTGCGGGTATGTATCTAGAGGTCGGACTCATCAAATCATAAATTTAAGGATACGCGGACTTGGCAAAAAAAGGTCATATTTTTATATTTTTAATCTAATATATGAGATAAAATGGTATTATATTTAACTTATAGTGTCAAAATGACATTTATAGCAATTATATAACAATATATACATATAATAATAGTGTTATATACAATTATATAAGAAGTATCCGTTGAAAAGTATCCGACACATATCCCATACCCTTGTCCGAGTGTCGGGTGTCCGACACGGGTATTTGATTTAATTTGAAGAGTCCATGTAACATAGTACAAAACAACAACTAGAATATTAAGAAATAAAGAAAAGGAGAGAATTTGTTTGATTACAAAAATCAAACTCGAAATAAAAACAGATTTTATTTTGTTACAAAAATAAAATTAAAATCTGATTTAAATAAATAATAAAACATTGAAAATAAATTAAATAACTTACTTGATTTAATTTTTTCGAATTATAATCTGATCAAGTCCAGTGTTTGACACTGTATCCTTAAGACAGATTCGTTCTCTCCACAGTGCTTTCAAAAATTGGACGTCTATCTTCCAGGATGAAATGATCTACTACAAACAATAGCAGCACTACAAATTGTTTGCCTAACGAACACAATAAGTGTTTATACTTAAGACAGATTCGTCCTCTCCACAGTGCTTTCAGAAATTGGACGTCTATCTCCCAGGATGAAATGATCTACTACAAACAATAGCAGCACTACAAATTGTTTGCCTAACGAACACAATAAGTGTTTATACTCTCTCTGACAAGAAAATAATGCAGCAAAATAAAGAGGATTTTTGCAAAATTATGAAAGACGAAAATTAGAGTTACTAAATCCAAATGAGGGCTGTCCTATTTATAGATGTAATGGTGGCTATAGGTTTTGAATTGAATAGGTATGAAACCTGTTGGTTTTGAATTCAAACAGATTTGAATCTGTTGGATTACAATTCAAACAGATAACAAAAATGGAAAGGGCCTTGTTTGGGTGTACAGGAAATCCAGATCAGATTATTTCCGGTTTAATACGGGAAGGGCCCTGTTTGGATGTATAGAAAAACCAAACTAGTTTAATTTGAATTCTGGATTTTATTTTACCAAAAATAAAATTAAATTCAAATGTTTTTGACCCAAAAAGATTAAGTATTGGGCCGGACAAGCCCAACCTCACACCACGCACCCGCGCCCAAGCCCGACCCAGCACGCCCGAACGGCGGCGGCGCGTGATTTTTGGGTCCAATGGGTCTAGCGCATTTTGCCCATAACTTCTCCCTCTAAAACACTTGGGTACCCCTTGGGGTACACCCCAAGTACCAAACCCAAGTCTTATAAACCCATTCAAAACTTCCCATCAAATCAATGTGGGACAAGCCATTTTACAACCTTAAGGAATTTCCACCAAAACTCTATTTCCATGGAGCACACTTTGGCTTCAATTTCCCATTCACTCGGTAATGGTTTTGAGCAACCAAATATACCACGTGAATCACAACGCGGCATAGAATGCATTACCACTTTGACCCGTGAAAATCGGCGCACGGGACCCACCTAAAAAATAGACCGAACTTAGGATAAAATTCTGGTTTTACCCAGAATTTATAACCATTTCCAACAATTATACGCATAGAAGCTAAAAACCCAACCCATAAACCTAATAGGCCTCGTTTGGGAAGTGGCTATTTTAGTAGGCTATTTGGCTTTTTTGCTATTTTAGGCTATTTTAGTTTTTGTGTTTGGGAAGATGAGATAGATTTTATTTGAGTTGTATTAAAAAATGTGTTGAAATGATGTTTAAAATTAAAATGACAAATTTATTCCTAAAAAAATATTTTTTTAAATTGCTATCAAGAGGTAAAATCGTAAAATGTTCATTGATGGTAATTTATTTATTGATGGAACAAGTGTTATAGCTGACAGTGTAGGCTGTGCCTACACTGCCGGCTGTGCAGAATAATTTTTTTTTTTTTGAAAAAAGTTCTAACAGTGTTGCTTTTGAGCTAATTTCTCAAAATAGGCTATAATAGCCTCATTTTGGACTTCCCAAACAGCACCAATATTTCCTTGCTTTTCACCTTTTTATCTCACTAGTGGGAGGGTCCTCATATGCTAGACCTAGACCCCAACTTGGCTTAAAACATATACCGAGCATCATCCATCCATGATAAACTTAAAATATACCCTAAATCAGGGCACCAATAGAATTACATTCAGGCAATCATATAAGTTAAGCAACTAAGGCAAACAGGAACACATGTAAGAACATACAGTTGACAAATATCAAGGATAAATATAATGTGTGAGATCACTGGTCTGGTGAATGAGGGTTATGCTATGAAGCATGGGTACTCCACAAATATTGCTGTATGAGTACCGGGTACTAACCTGTATGCAAAATAGGTATCTGATATGCGAAATATTTTGGATACAGAGATGACTACGGCTTGGGTACGTTTCGGGTACATGATGTATATGTTTCAAGTACTTTTGTGGATACTTTCGGGGCATAAGTGTAATTTTCAAAAAATATGGGGATATGGAAACAATTATATTGTGCTTGTTTTTTAAAACTTCCAAAGTATATGGTATTTTTGCAATTATAAAAAATAAGCAGGATTGTTTTTTTGACCATTACAAAAATACTTTGATTATTTTTTTTCATTAGATTTTTTTATTATTATATTTGTTGTATCAGTACTATTACAATTTATAAAAATATTTATTTTTTCCGGATGTACCAAACGGTACCCATATTTTACTTTTTTAAGGTTTTCTGCACCATCGTACCCCATCCGCATCCGTACCACACCCATTCTTCC